CTCATTTACGTACTGTCATCTTCATTCAGGTGTGGATGATAGCGGTGAGGTTAAGCGGAAATGTAATATTCTAAAACCTGGTGAAGCCTGAAGGCATACTAAACCTGAAAACACTTCATTCATCCATAAAAATTCCAGGAGCTTTTTGCATCCAGCGGTATAAGGCTGCATGGAATGAATGGAATGGTGAATTATTAATAGGAGTCGGAAACCTATCTCTCTTCTTATGGTAATTCTATCAAGCCTTGTGTCAGCAGTAAGCAAGCTATATACCCGTCAGTAGTCTTAAGAACTTAAAAAATGTTATTGTGCTACAGGTGAAACAAATAGCATCAAACCAGAGTGACTGGATAGTTTACTATAGTAATTCCCCCTTTTAGTTACGGATTTTATTAACAAAAAGTACATTCATTGTACTTTGACTTTGTTCTGAATGAGAACCATCATGTTAAATATATATTATTATATATTTTATCATAAAATGAAGAGAATATGCTGAAGTACTATACACGGGTGAAGGCTTGTGGCTGAAATGTTTTTCTCCTTGATCATTTTCAGTGTGGAACTAACCTCAACATGTTCCTTAACACTTACAGATTTGGTTTGTTAATGACCAATTTTTAAATGAGTTTTGGAAAACTGTTCACTTATGTTATAATTACATTGCTTCTTGCCATGTACTTACGACTGAGCTGGATTCAGCCCCTGTTTTTCACACATCTAGCCTAGTTTTCGCATAATTATTCATTCTGTACATTCTCCATTTTCCATGCTTAGTATGAGTCTTTCATAAGATTTTGAAATGTTTGCGTTTCTGTGAAAATTGAATTAGATGCTGAAGTTTCTTGAGTTTAAAACACGGGTTTATCACCTCTTCCCTACACTAGAGCATCTGTGTACCTCAACTCTACCCTGGGGGGTGAGAAGGCAGTCATTTGAAAGGCCTGTGAACAGGCATGTGGTACTGTAGCATCACAGGCCCCCGCCCTTATGACTCAACTGGTAAGACTGCTCAGGGTGAAAATTACACAGACAGCTCATACACTGTGTCCTTCCTCCTTCATGTTTGGTCCATGAGAAAAGAGTGAGGTCAATGAGTGAGAAAGGGATGGTGTGACTACCGCTGTGTGATGAGGACGCTGCCAAAGGGTTGCTGGTGCTCAGTTGGAGGACACCTGCACAGTTCACCACAAGTTCTTCAAACGAAACTAGTCGAATGTAGGATTAGGGTCTGAAATGCTCTTCATAATCTGGATTCCAAGGAGATGGTTTGGTAGTTTGCTGTCCATTTAGTTCAGGTCTACTGGTGATATTCAGCAAACCCTTTGCACCTGTGCATGTGTAGCAGAGTAAAATAAAACTCCTTCCACTTCAATATATGATTTTTATGGTGTGATCTCATAGTTATTGGTTGCTTGTCATATGTGCAGATTAAACACAATATTGAGATTACCATCAGTTAGGAATGCAAAATGGAATATACTGGAATGATATGCTTTAATTCAAATTTATAGATGACTAAACAAATGAAGGGCTAGTGTTTGAAAATAAGATGTTGAAATTGAAATAAGATGTAAGATCCATTAACTTGTTGGATGTTAAGTGAACCATGAACAAATTTTGAATTTAACACTTCTGAGTACTTGTAGTTTATGCAGCTAATTAATCAATCGGAATTTGGGTATTTTAATTTGTTACTGTACAGGGTTGTTTATTCTTAATATTATTCCAGGATGCATGTAATCATGCAGAATATATAGTATGTGTGAGTTCTAGGTGAAATGAGAAATAGCCATCGTACATGTCAATTTATCTAGGCCTATTTAATGAAAAATAATTTTAGAAATGTAGTTAATAATTGTTGCTGTAATGCAGATTGCTGTTGTAAAATAGCAGGCTTAAAAGCATATTTTCTGTTTAAATTTGTGCCAAAAAACTTTTTTGGTTGGAGGAATATGATAGCATTGTGTTTCAGAAGAAATCCATGCTCCTAAAGTGGTATTGATTTCTTTTTTTCTTGTTTGGCATTTGCTGTCCTTTACTCTCGGTCTGTTTTGAAATACGAAAGCAAAATTGTTTATTATGCTGAAGCTACAGATACAAAGTCATTAATAATTAATGTTCATTGCAAGAAATATATGTTCAACTGGGCCTTGTCCAAGAATTAGGGAATACCTAATCTTGCTCTGTGGGACTTTTTTGCGATTGGAATTACACGAATAGAAAATTTATGGCCCACAACATTAGGTGTGTCTTTGGTTATGAAGTACTGCAGTTTACCATAATGACTGCAGACACGGTGAATTACATGAACCGATACTGTTTTAGAGAAACACCCTGGGATTTTTCCCGAGTCAGGACCTCGATTTGACGTCTCATCCAAAGGATGGCTGCTGGTGTCAATGTCAGAAGGAACAGAAAATGTTTTGAAATCCGTATTCCTCTATTGCTTAAAATAGGACATACAGTGTAGGCCTACTTTAAAATCATTTGTTTTGTGTATTTTAAACACTGAGGTTGATTAATCTATTCCCCTGTGCTTCAGAGTTTTTTTTTGTTTCAGTGAGATCAGAATAAGATATTCTTACAAACCATAGGAAAGGGCATGCTGTCTGACAGATTCTACTTAATAGAAGATTATGAGTAGTGTTATGCTTTTCCCCAATGAAAGAAAACGTTTCTTTATGAATTGGTGTGATTTGGCAATACAGCTAACATGTTAGAAACGGTGTGAAATGCCAAACACTACCCCTTTGCAGTCAGGCCTGAGAATTTATCACAGTAGCAATGAGCGAGAACTATTATGCTTCGGTCAAGCAGAGCAGTCTTTGGGATACTTCAGGCTCCCTGTCCAGTTTGTACTGTACAGCTGCGGCTGACTGGGTCGTGGCAGGAACCAGTTAGGAACAGCAGAAAGCGTTTTACATACAACGCATGTCTGCTTTCTTTCTAGAATGGTAGCTGTGAAATAAGACTTGCGTTCTGTGGAGCCTGATTTTGCAGTGGGAGTGGTTTGACAAAATAAGGGTTGCTAAGTGGGAAATTTCTCCGTCCCCATGCTGTTGTTTTGTATTTTTTCTTGGTTTTTCTGAAGAGGGCATCATGTTTTTGTCTTTTGACTTGAGGTGGGGGAATATTCCGTTTTTACGGTCTCATTGTAAGGCATGTTTTTTTTTCACTTTGGGAAAGGGGGTCAGGGGGTTGGGACTCTTTTTCTTTTTCATCTTTTTGTACTTCCAGGAAGGGAAGTTGGGGGGG